ATAAAATTATTTGTGATTAATATTTGTGATTAATATTTATAATGTATTGTCTAATTTGTAATTAATTTTTTTAGTAAGGTATTATTTTATGCTGACCCCGTGATCGACCAATCAAAATCAATCATATAAATTGTGTATCTTTATTAAAAAAAAAAAATTTACAAAATTATTATGCAATGATATGTGTTGCGCAACAAAAAAAAATTACAAAACAATTATGCAACGAATATCATTGCATAAACAATAAAAAAAAAAAAAACTCTAATTCATATCCGCCCATCCACTTTAGATAAAGACTAACCACCAAAGACAACGATATCAACAACAAAGTTTTAACACCAAAAGCGACGATACCAACTACAAAAGCTCCAACACCGAAATACCTGGAAGAGGATACATTAGTAAATATAAGAAGAAAATAAAAACAACGCTATGACATACTTACGACAGCTCTAACAACTATGGTACCAGCGACAATAATTCAGATCGGATATGAGAAAAGAGAAATGGTTAGTAAGTATTAAAAAAAAAAAAAAAATGAAGGGAAAATAAGAAAACAAAAGAGACAAAAAAATAAAAAAGAAAGAAAAAAACAAGAAAACAAAAGAAAAGAAAAAGACAAAAAAATAAAAAAAGAAGAAAAAGACAAAAACCGAAAGGGGAAGAAAAAAAAAAAAAACAAGAAAACAAAAAGAAAAAAAAAGACAAGAAAACAAAAGAGGAAGAAAAAGACAAGAAAACAAAAGTGAAAAAAAAAACAAAAAAATGAAAAAGGAAGAAAAGACAAGAAAACAAAAGAAGAAGAAAAAGACAAGAAAATGAAAGGGGAAGAAAAAGACAAAAAAACGAAAGGGGAAGAAAAAGACAAAAAAATGAAAGGGGAAGAAAAAGTCAAAAACCAAAGAGAACGAAGAAAAAGACAAAAACCGAAGAAAATGAAGAAAAAGACAAGAACCGAAAAGAACAAAGAAAAAAACAAGAACCAAAGGGAACGAAGAAAAAAAACCAAAGGAAATAAGAAAAAGAACTGAAGAAAATAAAGAAAAAGTAAAGTAGAAGAATAGGAAAAAGAGAGAACAAAAAAAAAACCCCCGAAAAGAAAACAAGAAATAAAAAATAAAAAGAAAAAAATTAACGAAAGAAGAAAAA